CTCGAAAACTGCAGGTGCGTTTTGCGCTGAGAATTGTGTAATATAAGGGGTCGATAACCAAACTTGAAAAATTGAAGGTGGCAATATATATATATATATATATATATATATATATATATATATAACAGACATTATTGTCTGTTATATCTCAATAATATTGTGTCAAAACATGGAAAAACGAGTCCTTGGGTATACACTTCTTTCAATTATATATATAAATATTTAGTTATAAGCTCTAACAAACAAAGATGCCTAGGAGAATATAGGGAAATCTATTAGACCGAGCTGTACTGTAAATAGGAAGAAAGAAAAGTGGGCGAAAAAATAACTTGCCGTGGGCAGGAACCGAACCTGCGACCTTCGAATAACGCGTTCGATGCTCTACCATTTAGCTACCACGGAAGCTATCCCCTCAGCCACTTTATTGGGTATATATGTGAATTTAAACGTGGCAGTGTCAGTCAGCGCCACCATTAGCCATGGCGGCGAGTGTGGCACTCTTTATGAGCCTGTGTGGCGTCACGTAGCACGTGAACTTGTTATCAGTTGGCAGGTGACCAATTGTCCCTCGTATACAACCTAAAGGCACCAAGTCTGCCAGTACGAGACCCTCGTAATGAATAAGGGAAAGAGGTGTATACTTAACGGCTCGTTTTTCTGTGTTCGGACACATTAATAATTAGATCTAACAGACAAAGATGCCAAGGAAAGTATAGGGGAAGTTATTAGACTGAATTGTAATGTAAATATGAAGAAAAAAATGGGTGAAAAGAGAACTTGTCATGGGTAGGAAACGAACCTGCGACCTTCGAATAACGCGTTCGATGCTCTATTACTGAGCTATCGCGGCAGCTATCCCTCCAGCCAATTTATTGGGTATAATTGTAAATTTAAACGTGGGAGTGTTAGTCAGCACCACCAGTAGCCATGCCGGTGAGTGTGGCGCACACTTTATGAGCCTGTGTGGCGTCACGTGGCACATTTCAGCTGACGTTTCAGTATCGGATCTCGTATATAAAGTGGCCTTATCGATGATTCTGATGTTTTCGGTTAGGCCTTCGACGATGACAAAAATGACGGTGCTATGTAGGAACGCGTAGTTTTCAGATGTAAGCGATGAGTTTACGCATTTGTTTAAACTTATAGCGTGCAAAATTGTCCCGCCAGACGCCACACACGCTGGCTGGCCGCTGGCTTGAAAAATAACTGAGACGATAAGAGGACAGCACCAAAAATTTGGCGCTTCACTGACACAAGATTGCGTACACCCACTTGAATTCCTTGATTAGTGTATCGCATAGTCAACCGTGCGTTCTTGAGACAAAAATAACACAACAACACGTCTTCAAAATATAAATACGTCGTCAGAGCTTTATATGCGAAGCAGCTTTTGACTGGCGTGCGGAACGCCATGCGTATGTACGTCCGTGCGAACGCGCCGCAGGTGCTGAAGCGGTGCCAAGTAGGTTACGGAGCAGATGCGCGTTGGTGTCACGCTCCCCTCGCATGCTTCTCTCGCAGGTAGACGCTGACGTCACTCTCTTTCTCACCCGCAGCACGCTTGCTACAGCGTTCGCAGCTGCCGGCTCCTCCGCCCGCTCGACACAAACTTCTCTCTCACTCCACCCTTTTCACCACCCGCAACGGTTGACAGCACACCCGCGTGCAAACACCGTTTGGCTCGTTTATCTGGAATGAAACTTTCACAAAATTGAACCCGCCTTTTATGTTTTTTTTTTTTTTATTGATTTAATTTCAGACAACCCGTGTACACAGTTTGCCTAGGGGATCGGCGTAAAGGCAAAGAAAGCCTGACAAGCGCCAACCCCCTATGTACACACATACATAAACAGGTTATATATAGCAGTACAAAAATTGAGAAATTGAGATACATACAATATCAAAAAACATTTACAATTTTTTTTTTACATCAAGCCAGTATTAACAAAGAAATGAACAGCAATTATGAATTAGCACATAAAACATTTGCATTTCAACCGTGTCAACGCCATACAAACCACTGCTGCTTTGCATCTCATGAGCGCTCCCTTCGGGGAGATGGTCCAAAATTTCAACACTCCGCATTTTGACCTACCTCTACGAAAGCTGTCAATAAAGCGGTGATTTTATATCTCGCTTTTCTCTAAAGCACAGCCATGGTTATTGACATATACTTCAATTTACTCCATACTTTCCCGGAATCTGTACGTAAATACTTCCGGATGAGGAGACGGACAGTCGGAAGCATGCACGGACCGACAGACGTATGCACGCGCGGATGGACTTACGGACAAACGGACAGAAGCACGAACGCACGAATGGATGATTGGATGAAAGCACGGACGGATGGAAAGACGGGCGAATGACAGATTGGCCTCATGGATGGACGAACGGTGCGCCCCACTCACCATCATTCACTCCGTGGGTATGCTGTGACTTTCTTTAAATACCAGAGGAACGCCAAAAAAGTTCAAGCTTCACAGTCATCCCTCGCAGTGAGAGGTGTCGACACCGCCGTTCTCATCTTATAATTGTAGCCTTCTGGCCCTGAAGAAACTGTAGAGTAGGAACTGTCAAGTCTACGTCTCGTTATTTCAAGTGCAAGAACGAACTTGAAACAACCACTGCCAAGGCTAATTCATCGCTCTGCTAAGGGACACTAAATCTGCGGTAGCAAACAAGAACAACCAAGCGAAGCGGTGGCTTTAAAATTGCGATAAATTCAGAGAATCTATCGCACGTTTCGAAAATCACCTTACGACGGCATGCTGAATTAACTAAACACTCAACCATAAATATCGACGCTTAGTGTAGGTCTCAAAAGCTTGCGCCTTTCTTTAGGTGCAGAAAGCCCGTAAGAATGCGCATACAAAAGTACTGTCGGCTTGGTTTATAATGTGGGTATACAGATGGTGCTGCACACAGTACTTTGCGATACCCTCTTCCAGGAATTCCTGTAGACCATGCAAGAACGTGACTTAGTTGCACCATAGTCGCCGAGTATAGCCTTGGCTGGCACGTCGTCTGGGTCGTTTGGGCATGTGTTTCTGTACAAGTGACGTTCTGAAGGGGACAACTCAGCAGACGTAGCTACACGGCAAGCTGCACGGCACAGTCTGCTACACGGCAGTGTGTTAGTACCCGAACGCGAGATCTGAAGCGGAGGCAAAGCCCCTGCTGTAACACCGGATCGAAAGCAGATGACTGAATTAAGTCCAGCAATCTGGAACACTGACTAGTGCGGCAAAGTCGACTCAAAAGCGAAGCGCTGGGTCTAACGCTATGAGGACCGTTCGTCAAAAAACGATTACTGAGCAATGATTGATCTTGCGCTAATTGCACTTGGCCGGCTGGTTTTTTTTTTCTCGAGACACTTTTGTGTATTCATTGAAATTGTATGGGGGGATTTTTGAAAAGGTAATTGTAGCGTAACAATAAGTTATTCGCTAATTGCACTCAAGTGGCATGTACGGTAAGACAACCTGTGTAAAGTTGGGGAAGAGCCCTATTGAGCAGTTGAGGGGATCTTCGTCTTTATATAAATTTCTATGGTGGTTAGGAATGTTATCAATGGTGGTCACAGTATTGAAAATCAGCTCTTTATGGAGGTAAAAACATTACATTTGTGCCACAATGCTTTGAGGCGTGTGAGCTAATCTTCCTCGCCTATATGGAAAGGCATATGCGAACACAGCTTGTACATCCTTTCTGCCATATTTACATCTATGCTGTAAAGTGTGCGCTGGCGTAATGTCACAACATTCGCTGCTCTTCTAGCTCCAGTACTCGACATGCTCGGTGAGCACATATCATGGACTTGATAGACAGAAACAACGTTCCACATCGCGAACTCCCCAATCAAGCATTTCAAAGGAAGTGCACCACGTTCGCCCGAACTTTTGCTACTTGAGTGAGTTTTTACACACAGCACAGACTTCAGCTACTACATGCGTATACATGTACACTACCCCTGAACTAGAAAGACATCAAAACCAAGAACGTGAAATCCACTTCTAGAATCACAATTATATTCCCTTGCTGAAACGTTGGCTGCAGGCTGCTGCTTACAATTGTTGATTTTTTTCAATGCGAATTCCGAGTTCATTGTTCATTGTTATGTCGACAATTGTACTTTTCAAGAACCGGTGCAGTTCGGATAACGTTTATACATTAATAAGGTCACTTCGTAATAACATGTGCTTCGATTACTTCCTATAATTACGAGTGCAAAAGTTTCATTTGCAAGTACTAAACCGAACAAGCAGTCCCCAAACAAAGTAGACCGCATACACAAAGCGATTCACTTGCTCTCTCTGGTACCGAAACAGTAATTGATGCAACTAAGATTTATACCTTTAAGTTACTTCTTTTTTACTATTTGAGTGCTTCTGGTAGGCATTCAACTTGAGTATCACGAAGACTATGGAGCATCGTCACTTGGTAGTGCGCCCATCTCTTATTTGCAGAGCTTTGGATAGAAAATAGTGTCCTGGCTACGTTTTGCGATAGGCTATTTAAAAAGATGGTTGATATTTGTGACGAACTTATGGACTTGAGTATAACTCTAATAACTTAGTTTCACGTTTGCGTTGTTTTTCGAAATAGGTGCATAATAAAAAACTCCCGTCAATAACTGTTCGAAATTGTCAGTTACTACAAATAAGAAAACTTGAGAACGACGATGCAGTAATTTTTGAATGGGAAGAAATGGGCAAGTAAGAAAATTAATGTCTTTTGCCGGCCCTACGATCAATGAGAGAATATTGCTCGAATGATAAATATGATTCAACAGTACGAGTAGCTCCTTAGTGAATACAGTTTATTTCGGCGACACTTTAATTTACTAGCTTGACCTCGTGAGTAAGTGGTGTGTACCTGAAGTGCGCCGTAACCTACAAGCTGTTTCTTAGGACGAGGAGAACAATGGAAATTGTTCTGGACGCATGAAGAACATATGCACTAGCGTACCTATTTTTGGTTTTAAATCGAAAATGGGATCCGAAATTGATGTATCCGAAGAGCTGGGCGTAGTTACATTACGAAATATAGTCCCATGCAGCTGTATTTCTAATTTTCTTGACAAGCTGGTGCTGTTTCTTCGAAAGCCTTCAGTTGAGAAAGGTGAGTAAGACTTACTTCTTAGGGCTGTCTCAACTACGCGTGATGCTGTATTTGTGGCTGTTAATACTCTGGGGTTAAAGTTTTGCATCTTTAATACGAAGAGAAAAGCTTCGGATTATATTATGGCTTCACAAAGACAGAACAAATGCTCATGCCCTTTTCATCTTACTAAATTCATTTTACTTTGCCATGTTATAGCATATCGATGCCACATAGCGTTGCCTTAGGTCAAGGGATTTTCACTTCAACTACCCCATCTCTGGGATGGCAGACAGATTGCGCAACATGGGCACATGGATTTGGCGCTGTGCAAAATATTACACTGAGAACACATACACGTGCTACTCCGGTTGCCAGTGTTGGGCTTGCGTTAAAGAAAACTGTAGACTCGTCCCCACTAGGTATTGCATCAAAGAGCTACAAAATAGCTGCGCTGGCGCCTGTATGGAAATAAACTTCTTTAAGCAACTATCTAACGTTAAGGGCTTAAGACACTGCCATTTTGGCCACTTTCCCTTTACTGGAACAAATCAGTGCAACTCAATGCGAAGTAAGTTTATAAAGAATATTCCATAGTGCCAGAATGTCAGTAGGTATATAAGTCAGAAAGCCGAATGAAGACTGTTGGAACAGCATGGTTACGCACGTTCGTACGCCGCAGCTTTACTGATGTGACAAGATAAGCTTTCGGAAGTGTAGATAGGTACATCAGCAGATATGTACTGATATTCTTTTAAAGTATTAACCTAACAATCAACCAAAAACTTGTGTCAATTCAATTCGCGGCATAATTTAGATGCTGTAACAACCGCACAGGGACACCAAAACACACAGCCAATCTGGTGCAGATCAACTTTACTTTTGCACTAGCAACTTATGTCAAAAAGCGTGCATGAAGCTGCATGAAATACAATTGATGTATGAACTGACTCTGAGGTCGTATGTAGCGAGCCTGCCTGGTGAATTTATCACCGTATATCATCTAAGGGACCGCACGTATAACGTGATGATTGTTTGCAAATATATCATGCAGTCGTCATGAGTTTATTTATTTATTTATTTATTTATTTGAGCATACTGTTAACCCACATTTGTGGGTCATTACAGGGAGGGAGTACATAAAAGTAATAATTGGTATATAAAAACACTCAAGTAATGTCAACTGTCAACAATAACAAAAAAATCATCAACATTGGCATGACAAAAGGAAAGCAAAACACCAACACATCATCCAACGATTTTTAGGTAACATAGTTGTCAAGCAAATATTCAAAAGCCCTTGCATCCGTGAACTCAGCAATATGTGCAGGTAGCGCATTCCAGTTTTCGATAACATTGGGGAAAAACGAATACCGAAAGACGTTTGTGCGGGTGACATATGTTCTAATGGCTGCACTATGGTTTATTCTTCTGCTAATTCTACCAGGTTCCCGTATGTAAATACTTTTATCAATATTTATTCGACCCTGGAGAATCTGAAATAATAATTTTATTCTGTTCCTCTGTCGCCTAATTTCAAGCAGTTCCAATTTACATGAGTTTAGCATCTCAGTAACTGAGTCTGTTTTTTTTGTATCTTGAACACATGAACCTAGCTGCAAGTCTTTGGATTCTTTCCAGCTCATTTATTAGGCCTTTTTGGTGGGGACTCCAAACTACAGCAGCATACTCCAAAACAGGCCGAAGCATGCCATCAGTTTGACGTCTTTGGTTGTGTTTCGTAGTTTTACTCGAAGAAAGCACAGCTTTTTGTACGAGGAAGAACACACATTTTCAACGTTGCTGCCCCAGTTTAGGTCATTTGATATCACAACGCCTAGATATCGAAAACTGGAAACATTTGTCAAAATTGCACTTCCCATACGATACTGGAAATCAAGAACGTTTTTCTTTCGGGTAATATTTGCAAAAGTGGTTTTGGCGTAGTTAATTTCCATATCCCATTTTTCACACCTGGTATGAAGATCCTCAAGACACTGATTAATTTTTTCCTGGTCGTTTTAACAGTTAACTGGAGCATAAATTAAACAGTCATCTGCAAACAGTCTCAAGACCGCTGGCGGCTGAACAACTGTGGCTACATCATTCATATAAACTAAAAACAATAAAGGGCCTAGCACCGAGCCCTGTGGTACCCCGGACCCGCAGGGCGCGGGTTCGAATCCCGGCTGCGGCGGCTGCATTTCCGATGGAGGCGGAAATGTTGTAGGCCCGTGTACTCAGATTTGGGTGCACGTTAAAGAACCCCAGGTGGTCTAAATTTCCGGAGCCCTTCACTACGGCGTCTCTCATAATCATATAGTGGTTTTGGGACGTTAAACCCCACATATCAATCAATCAATCGTGGTACCCCGGAAAGTACATCCAAAAAGCTTGACACAGAATTATTAACACGCACTACTTGCCTCCGCCCTGTTAGATAAGCTTCAATCCATTTTAAAACATCATTACTGATACCAATTTGACGCAGCTTATAAAGCTGCTTACCATATGAAACCTTGTCAAACGCTTTTTTAAAATCGATGCAATTAACATCAGTTTGTTGGTGTTCATCCAAAGCCCGCGCAAAGTCGTGAACCGTTTCGATAAGTTGTGTCACCGTGGATAGGCCCCTTCTGAAGCCATGGTGAGTGGCGCAAAGCAGCTTATTTGTTTCCAGAAAATGAATATTATGTTTAGCGAATACGTGCTCCATGATCTTGCAGCATACAGAGGTTAAGGATACAGGGCGATAGTTGTTTTGATGCATACAATTTCCATTTTCAAACACGTGTATAACAGCAGCGCAACGCCAATCTTGTGGAACGGAATGGCTACGTAAAGATTGTTCAAAAATAATTACCAGATAGAAAGACACCCACTCGGCGTATCGCTTTAAAAATACCGTTGGTATCCTGTCGGGGCCACAGGCTTTCTTTGGATCTAAGTTCAACAGTTGTTCTAACACGCCCTCCTGATGAAACGAAAGAGGCTCCATGGGGCATGCGCAGGAATAGTTTATCTCGTCTGCGATGCAACTTTGTGCATCTCTATTAAAGACTGAATAGAAAAACTCGTTGAAACCATCTGCTGTCCTTTGTGCATCTGTCACAGGAGCATCTTCTATACTTATCTGGTCTATTTTTGATTTCTTTGCTCCCAAAAAACGCCAGAGTTTGGTGGGCGAGCTTTTAAGGAAGTTTCCCAGCGTCTCATTGAAGAACTCATTTTTGCTTCTGATAATGCTGTTTTTAGTCTACTGCGTGCCTGTGATAGTTCAGTTGACTTCTTTGGCTGCCTGCGTAGTCTTTTTATTCTGCGTTTCATGTGAACAATATCGCGAGTTATCCATGGATTTTGCTGTTTCTTTCTTTTATAACAATTTGGTACAAATCTGTCCGTGCAAGTAGCAATGATGCATTTAAAGCGCTCCCACAATTCCTCGACTGTCTCTGAGTGGGAGGCAATTTCAAATTCATTAAATGATTGTTCTAAGTAATCTAAGATAGAAGTATCTTCCGCTCGCTCGTAATCTTTGACCAACAATCGTTCTTTAGACCCTAAGTCATCAGAAGGCTTGCTCGACAATGGCAGTATGTTCACCGAAATCATCTTATGATCAGATATACCTTCCTGAATTGACAGGCTATAATCTTCAATCCTGCTGGACAAGAATACCAAATCTAATAATGATCGTGATTCGGGTGTTACCCTTGTGTAATCGATAACAATCTGTCTTAAATTGTGAAAGAAGGCAATCTCTAATAGCTTATTTGCACTCATTATCTCAGTATGTTGACTAGACAAAGCCTCCCAATCAATGTGTGCCAAGTTGAAGTCACCAGCCAATATTAGTCGTGTAGTACTGTTGGCATGAGTGCAAAGAAATCCATTAAGCTCATCTAAAAATTCAGGTGGAGTCGCTGGTGGTCTGTAAACTACACCAATGAGGTACGTAATGTTTTCAAAAGTTATTTTACACCACACTGACTCGGACATATCGCTGTTCACCATTATGGCCCGACAACAATCCTTTACAATATTAGCAACGCCCCCACCGCGTGCATCTCGGTCCCATCTGAACATGCTATATCCTGGAGATTTAATACAATCACTGGTAATGCATGTGCTTAACCAAGTTTCCGTTAATAACACGACATGGAGACTCTCCAACATCAATATGTATTCCAGGTCAGTGATTTTATTAACAATACTACGAGCATTCAAAAGAATCAAGCGTACCTATGCTTGAGGTGGCTTATTCTTTGTAGAATGCCGCGATGAACCGGGTTTAGAACTTCCATGGCTTTTGTATGGGCGGTACTGATACGGACAACGCGCATTTTGCACTGTGTCCCACGCGTAAAGTTGCTCGTCTATTTTAATCTTGTTGTGGTCTTGCAGTTGTGGTCTTGCAAACTCAAAGTTGCTTGTTGAATGGAACACAATAACTTAACGATCCGTTCTGTAGCGCTTGTGCCACACCCCAGCTCAGATAGCCGTGTGCGATCCACTGCACTCGGATGTTGCAGATTTGATCTACATGATTGAAACATGAAAATTAAAAAGTATGCACACGCATGTTTTTCGCAAGTTCGAACAATCCGGCGATGCGAAAACTAACCGAACGACAGTGAACTAAACAATTTAGCAGAGAGGTGCAGATTGGGGCCCTAACTGAACGTTTTCTCGACCTAACCGCAACGCTTCGCTGGCAGAGCTTGAACGTATTGATAGCAAGCGGTGCTTCGTAGGATTCAAAATAATTGTGCTACATGCAATGAACAAAAAATTTATGCTTTCCTTTTGCTCTCGCTGAAGCATATTACACATTGCAAGCGGTGCTTCGTAGGATTCAAAATAATTTTGCTACATGCAATGCACAAAAAATTTATGCTTTCCTTTTGCTCTCACTGAAGCATATTACACATTGAATAAAACTAAGGTCACCTACGAGTGTGGAAAAACAATGAGGAACGAGGGAATGCATAAGTGCAGTTCGCACCTCGAGAGTTCAGCTG